AGGGGTATCTAGCCATCACATCAGTGTTCGCAAATATACAGCAGTAAATATATTAGGGTATGTTGGGGGGGGGGGGGGGGGGGGGGTATCTGGCAAACAATTCAGTTACCATTTTTCAAAAACCGAGTTGGGTGCCGAGTCGGCACCACCCAATATTCACCAAAAAAGCCCCCTTACCTGGCAATGACCGATGACCATTTTACCAACCAGGCAGACCGACCAAACATTATTACCAATGAACAGACAAAACTGACAAAGGCCGTCTTAAGAGTAAATAAGCAAACGAGTAAGCATCTAAAACCATCGTACGGAGGTCGGACGGATTGACGAATGAACGCAAGAACCCTGGCCTGACTATCAAGCATTGGTAATCGAACTTCAATCGTTTGATTAATTTGGATTGTGTTCGGCAATCAAACATAATCGAACTCACCAAAACACGGTGGTAATCAAACACAATCCACTAACGTTCGATAATCCAACGGAATCCATCCAACGATGTCTCCAACGATTCTTAAATCGAACCAAATCGAACCCTATAATGAACCGTACCGAACTTCATCGAACTTATTCGTACACAACAAAACGCCATAGTTCCGTGTTCGATTGCCGAACCAATCGTAAAATGATCGACAAAAGGATTGAAGTTTGATTGAATTCGATCACCAAATATTCGATTAGTTACGTCGGGAAGAACGCGGACGGTAAACAGCCCAGCAGACGGACGAACGGACAGACAACCGTTGACCAGGTGGTTTGAAAGTATGCATAATTTTCCCATAATGCAAAGTATATTTGAAGAGAAGACAGAATTTTACTATTTTCTCCGTAAAACTAACTTGATTTTATCCCCCTTTTATCCAGGAAAGCAAACAGTGTTATCGTGAAATATGAGCTCGCCGTCAACGCAATTTCAAAAGAGCAAGCTCAAGAAGTTATCGATTGCATCCAAAACCAAGTCAACACCGGGATGATTGGGAACTACAAGGTCGATCCTAACCATCCAATAGGTAGGTCTTGAATGCTTAGAAAATATACTAAATGCAAGTACAATAATACAAATTAACATCTATTACCTTAACAGTTATAATTCTGCTTTTCTAAAGTCATTTTTGTTAGAATTAATTCTTTTTTATGGAAATACTTTTTATGGTGAAATTAGTGTAGCGTTTTTTTTCCAGCTCCAAGAGATATCAGGTAATGAGCACATTCTTATGACAGTGTGAAGGAAATTCCTATTAATAATAGAATGTACATAAACCGAAGAAGAATCGGTCATGTAGAAAGTCAGTCGGTCGGTGGGTCGGCGGGTCGGCGGGTCGGCGGGTCGGCGGGTCGGTCTTTGCTTTTGCGAGGTTTAATCGCGGAATTTTTTTAAATTACTTTTTTAAAGTAAAACTGAATGTGAAATAGAATCCCATACTGAAAACGAATACTTTGTTATATTGGAATTGTGAGATCAGTGACCAGCCAACAAGTGCGAAAATTCCGGATGTGACGCAGGCTAGAGATTGTGCCGAAAATGATATGCCTTGCAAAGGCGTGACGGACTTTTTTGAAATTACTTTTTTTGAGGTTACTAACTTATCCGCGCTTGCGAATATCGCTGTGCTTATGTTTACTTCGCTGTAGAAAAACAATACACTAATCCTTAGTATCTCAAAACCAACAGAACCAACAACAACGCCACCAACTACTCAACCAAGTAAGTTTGAAACCATGGAAATCTTTATTTTTAAATTCAAAAATTACAAATTTTACTTTTACTGTTTAAGTGACTGTGGTTGAATACGATAGGCGACTCAACGATCTCTTCATAAAACCGGTCGTGTTGATTTTGATAACATTAGACTAATAAAACTTCTAATAAGCCCAGCCATCCGGCTTTTTTCATCTGTTACCAAAATTTAAGCCTTCTCCTTCACGCCTTAGAAACCCTTTTAGTCTACTTTCAAGGATTTACACTAAACGCTTTAAACAATTTTTTTAAAAAGATTATTTAAACTACGATAAATTAGTCAGGTTTTATTACGGTTATTTTGTTCTTAACAGTTAGGAAAATCGAAGAGGTCGGAACACTTCACTTTTCGAGTTTTTTGTCCCTTTAAAAAAATTGCATCATACTGTAAATCATTCCTTGGATAGGAAATCGTTCGGTGTTTTTCGAACTCAATGCTTCATTTTAGAGAGTTTTTTTTTCTTTTTCTTAAGACACTTTAATCTCTGATTAAAAAAATGTATCAGTGGGTGTCGAAGCAACCCTAATTTTTGTTAAGAATTCAAAATTCGTATTTTGTGACGAAAGTGATGTCATTAAACAGATACACGGACAACGTAGACAAGAAAGACATAGGAAAGTCCATGGAAGTGAATGACCTGTGATGGTGTATTTTGGTTTGACGACACTTTAAGACTGATTTTACCAACTCTTTAAAAAATTTATATCTTTTTCATCATTTACAGCACCTGACCAAGTTGTTACTACAAAGCAATGTAAGTGTTTTAGTGATAGGGATCGATAGCATTGTATCACGATATATAATCATCAAAATGCAATTACTATAAGAATAGCTAGTGCTCCATCTCAAACAAGCTATTTGAATGATCGATTTTTGCACTACACCAAAATCCGTGGCACAATTACTCTTCTCACTTAAGCCAATCCAATAAAAAGTTTAAACAAGATTTCAAAAACTCATGAATAATTCATAAACATTTGAACCAATTGGAGCGACCATACACGTCACGTGCATGGACCTTTAAACCCCATAAAAGTATATATTCTTTATATAAAGAATACTAATGAGAATGAGACTTTATAAAGTCTCATCCTTGTTAGTATTCTTTATATAAAGAATACTAATATGGACAACCTTATCAGAATAAAGGTGCATCGAAGTTTAGATGAAGACTAAGAGCCTCATCAAGGTCAGTTTCACGTACGATCATCGACGACCTATAAATTATCGTCGTCTAGTGCCCCTGTCTTGAGTTCGGCATGTTGTCTTCAACTTGTGGGAGCCTTTTTTGCACTTACTGCGCATGGCAGTGACGTACAAACTTCACTGCGCATGACATTGCTGTACAAACGACTATCAAAGTATAAAAGTTCGCGAGGTATATGGTCGCTCTACTTCAACTGAAAGGTGTGTGAATTATACTTAAAATTTTTGAAGCCGTTTAATAAACTCGCAGATAACACGATCTGCGAGTTTATTAAACAGTAAATATAATTCTGTCCGTCCGTTTGTTCGTTCGTTCGTTCGAAACATTATATTTATTCATCCATTCATTATTGCTTCGTTTTGATCAGAATTTCGATTTTGAATTATTTCGTTTTGCTTTTTAGCGAGGATTGATACAGAGATGAGACTCACGTCAGTGGTCTTTGACGAAGTGAAAGATCTAACTTCAAATGCAGGAAAGCAGTTTAAGACGGATTTTGAGGAAAATGTAAATATAACTGAAAGTGTATAATAGTTATATGAAGGGCCCATTTACAAGGGAAGTTATAAACCCTGCTTTCGCCCTTTGTTTCTATGTTTGAGACCATAAAGCTGCCGATACACGCTGAAATTTTTTCTCGCGCTGGCAACGCAATTTCACATTTTTGTTGCAGCGAAAAATTGCAAGGTCTACCATATCAAAAAGGTTTGAAATAAACTTAAAAGGATAAAAATCAGTATTAAATCCTGATTGGCTAGTCTGAATAGGGTTGTTGCAAACATGGGAGATAGACGCTGCAATTTTCAGTTTTCGCTATTTTTAGGCGTGCAATTCCAAAAATGTTTCAGAGAAACGTTCAAACTTTTKGATTTTCTGCAACAATTTTTGCGTTGCGAGACATCGTTGCCGTCAAAGTCTCGGGGCATGATACACGCTGAAATTGTGTCTCAGGCTGGCAATGCAACGGAAAAATTGAGGTTGCATTGCCAGCGTGTGAAAAAATTGCAGCGTGTATTGACAGCTTAAGAACCGATATACAGCTATTTCAAAAAAGGTTGACGAAGGTTTTGTTGGATTTTGGATGTTGCTTGTTTCAAAGCAAGCCCGAACTGCACTGTGGTTGATGTCAACTCATTAATCAAAAAGGTCACAACAATATGGAAATTTTCTAAACTTTATCTACACGTTTTCCGGAATACTTCTTTTGGTGATATTTACATATATGAATATGATATAATTCTAATATGATATAACATTTTCACCTGAATAAGCAACATGCAACAAGCAGCATGCAACTCGCAACATGCAACATGCAACATGCAACATACAACTTGCAACAT